GAGAGAGAGAGAGGGAGAGAGAAAAGAAAGTGGTTGAAACACGAGACGGATCATTACTTATGCGTTCATTTTATTTTTATCATATGCTAACTTTAAAAAGAAAACGAGTATAGAGAAATGAAGAAAATAAGTGTTTGATTTTGTTCACTAAGACACATAGAGAATTCTCATGAGAACCGTCAAAACAAGATGACGTATGAATTGTATTTAGCCTAAAGCAATCAATGCATGAATAGAATGAAGCGCCATAAGAAAAATTTACACTTGGGGAATGACGCTTCGAAATCTTAATCATAGTCGTCAGAATGAATACTTCATGCATTTTCCTATATATATATATGTATGTATGTCATCTTTGCACGCGTTTTTTTATATTAAAAGCATTTTTTCCTTAGTCTTTGATCTTTAGGCGCTTCTTTCTCACTCCGTTTTTCTTCTGTTTCCGATTTCTAATACTGGAAACATCATCTTACTACTACTACTATAAAAAGACAAAGACAAATACATCATCAATAACAAGATTGACATGATTCTTAAATATTTAGAATACGAAAAAAAAACATAACAAAGGAAAAAAAGAAATAAGAAAGAAAAGAAAAACAAAAGATACCTGATTAAGACCTCATTCTCTAGTTATGAGTTCAGTTTGTTATTCATTTTTTTTCTTCTTATTTTGTTGTTTCATAGAAATCAAATTAGTCTCGGAAAAGTGATTCGACTTCGAGGACAACATAGTAACGTATCTTTTAATACAAAATCGTCTGGAAATTGATTGAGTAAAGCAATCCATAAATCTATACGATACAATTTTCTTTTCTTTATTCTATTTCGATATATATTTTACCCCAAAATCTTCCGCTCAATGTGCTTAATCATTCGGTCAAGTGATGCGCTATATATATATAAAAAAAAACTATATTTTTTTCGACATGAAAGAAAGAAAAACGAGCTCTATCTTAAGTCTAATCTTATACTACAAGTGCCTATTATCATTATTCAAAAGATTGATTTCTAAGAGATTTTTTTTCGGAAAATCCTCCTCCTCCTCTTTTTTTTCTCCTCCATCTATATCTTATGTCAATGGCATCCGGCATTACCTGGTATGATTTCTTTTATATGCTTTATAATATATATCTATAGATAAAAGAAACTAACTGTGCCAGAAAAAAAACCAATTAGTAGTAGGTATCTATTTTGTTGCTATTCAAGTCACGATTTCATATAATTATGATAATTATTATCATTTTACAGAATTCTATTTATTTTAACTAGAATAATAACAAGTGGAATACGAAGAAAAAGGATTCAATATATCTCATCAATATAAGATGTCAATATCGACATATTAAATATATGCGTACACGTTCCGGGTCACAGCTGCAAATAATTATTGAAATTTTTATCTTTTATGTATCTATTTATATATATATATATATATAGATAGGACTTTCTTCCCAGTGCATGATTAAATTGTTACTAAGTTTCTTTAAAAATATATTATTTGTTATTAATGAGAAAAATTATATACTCACTCAAACGTAAACGTTAATTGTATTCCTGAAAAAAAAAACGCTTCTTATGTGTACGTTATAAAGAGATAATATTTGTCAGCACTTTTTTTGTTTTTCTTCTGTTCTTCTATCTATCGATTTTGGGTATATATATATATATATGTGAATGTATGTTTGAGACCTGAATTGTATGCGTAAGTAAGTGAGATAATCGCCTTAAGATATGACGATAGTAAACACCCGTTCAAATCTCCATAGACCTGTATGCATAAAATTCTATGGTTAGATCACGCTTATCACTATCAGATATTACACAAGAGAGATCAAAGTTAATAATTTAATAAGGAAATTCTTTTTCCTGTGAGACTTCGATATAAAAATAACAATGAGAAACATCCATCAATATAAATAATATTTACCATTCTTCTTTAATTCATGACTAACTCCTACATACCTATTCGACGTGAACTACACTATTATAGATAAAAACATTATAAAGATCAGTAATCGTTTCTCTCTTGTTTTATTATTCTTCTTTCTATAGATCAATCGATCATTGATTAACCTCATATATATATATTCATTCTCTCATTCTTTTTTTTGAATGAAATGTGATTCATTCAACATCTGTCATTATTGTCGTATTCTAAAAATATAGTTAAAAAAATATTTATGTCAAACAAATTTAAATAGAAACTAATATAATATTTACTTGTTCAAGGAAATGTTCGAAAGGGGTCGCTGACTCTAATGGAAATGAAGTCCATCACATGACAACCATACTTACAGATATTTTTCATGTGTCTTTATTAAAAAAATTAATTTAATCAATAAGTTTCGTTACAATATAGTTATATGTTGAAATAATAAAGAATTTCTATTTGAAGTGTTAAAAAGTATATACTTTATTAATAATTATTCTAGTTCTTTCTAATCTACGGATTTGATACAAAATAATATAAAACTAAAGAAAATATTTACTTAACTATTAGTCGAATAAGTCATTATAATATATCAATCGTAGTCAGACGAGTGTAGAATGGAAAAAATAAATATTTTATGCATTATCAAAACAACATATCATATTACTTATTTGCTCATAAAAGCTGTCTTTTCTTTTGTTTTTCTTTAACTACAAAGACGTGATAAAAAGTTATATTTTCATTTAGTAGAAAGCAGTCTGATACTAATATTGTCTTTATAGAAAACTATTAAATAAATAATTATTAGAACAATGTATCATATTTAATCTTCTATTAATAGAAAATAAAACATAAAACTTCTCAAATTATATAAAACTATTGTAATTATGTTTGTATGATTCATATGTATATTCTTTCAATTATATTTAGTTAAATGATAGAGACTAAATTAAAATGTACTGTTAATTTTGCTGATCATTGACTAATGGAAAAATGCAAGATCGATATTTTTCTTCGGATCATAAAGATAACTTTTTATATCAATGAAAAAAATGATTTCTCCAAAACACATAATTATAAAAATGATATTCCGTTGTTAATATTAAATCAGTTTCTGTAAAAAAAAGTCTTATTATTAATTACAAATTCAAATAGAACTTACATAACAAAAGCGATGATTATATTTACTTAGAAAAATTTGATAAAATTGAATATTTATAACCTTAAGTTCTTTTTTTTCTAATTTATTTGAAATAATATTTATTCAAATCGTCCATATACTATAAAACTAAATTCAATAATGTTAATGCACATGTTCAAAAATCGAGATCTATATAGTGAGTTTGAATTATTTTTCAATCAAAGAGTTTATAGCGCAATAATTGTTATTACGAAGTTCTGCTACTTCAATTACTCGATCCATTTTTTTCTCCTCTCGAATTATCCATCAAATCTTATTATTTCAAGTTAATCCAGAAGCGTATAATTTTCTTTTATGTACTGTCTACTAATGTAATCTATTAAATATTTAGCGCCATCTACAACATCTATTCGATTGCTCGACAAACTATTTCCAGTTAATATTCTGTAACTCTTTTTCATTTTATGCACTTTCCATCTTTTTGCGATTACGAAATATCTTCAATTAAGAAATGACTTCGACAGCATCAAAAGACACAAATTCTGCACTTGTCGGTATACGATTAGGTGCAAGTAACATCGTTGTTGCATATTTCAAAGTAGATTTAATAACTTTTTTTAATTTTTATTTTTCCATACTTGAAATTTATTTAGGAAGGTCGAAGTGAAACGATTGTTAATGAGTTAGGTGATCGTGTTACACCAACATTTATTACTTTCAATGATGGAAATGAAACTGTATGAATCGAAAATTTAATTTTATATTCTATTTTTTTTTTTTCTGTTTATAGGCCATAGGACTTCCATCAAAACAAGGTCTTATTCGTAATCAACAGAATACAATCCAATGGTCACCGCATTTTCTTGCAAAACATGATGATAATGATATTTTATTAAGATATTATAAACAAAAATCGCCTATTAATGTAAAATATCCTATAAATAAATGTATAAAAAATAAAATTCTTCTATCTATTTAGGTTACCGAAAGTAATAATAGAATAGAATTTTCTTTAACAGTTGATGGAAAAATGAAATCAATTCATCTTGAAATTATTATAGTTAATTTATTAAATTATGTTCGACGTAAGATAATATTGAATAAAACAAAAACATGAAATTCCTTTCTTTTTTTAGAACTTATTCTTTCTGTTACTGGTGCACGTGAAGTACAAGCTGTACTTTCTGTACCTCACCAAATGACACAAACCATAAATCAAGATCTTATTCGGTAGATTGAAAAAATATTATTTCTAAGAAAGTTTTTTTCTTGTGATAGACTTTGTATGAAGAAAAGTGGTATTGAACTTCATTCAATTATTTCCGATGCTTGTTCAGCTTGTATGGCTTATGAATTAGATAAAGATGGTGGGCATGTTGAAAGGTATTTTCTATTCAATTGATGTATATAGTTAAAAAAAAATTATTTTTATTTTAGTCATATTCTTGTTTATCGTCTTGGTGGTTCAACACATGAATGTTCAATTATTCGAGCAATTGGCGGATGTTTTCAAACAGTTGCATCAGTATATGGATTTGAAAATAATGGTGATGCTTTTACAGATCTTCTAACAGATGTTATTGCTGATGAATTTCAAAAGTAATTTTTAGATTAAATTCTTTCAATTTTATTATAACTATGTCGTAATTTAGAAAAACTAAAAGTGACCCAAGATTAGCATCAAGATCATTACTTAAACTTCGTGCTTGTTCCGAACAAGCTAAACATGTCTTATCAACAACACCTGTTACTCAATGCTCCATTGATGCATTACATGAGGGTATTGATTTAGATTGTAATGTTAGCAGGTATTCTATTCGAAATTATTTAATTTTTTGATCATAAATATTTTTTTTGACTTATTAATTAGACTCCGTTTTGATGGTGTAGCAAATAATTTAATTAATGAATGTTTAAAACCGATTGATGTTATACTTGAGAAAGCAAAATTACAAACAGATGATATTAAATTGGTAATTATAATTTATATTGTTTGATTTTTTCCCATAATTATTGTTTTAGATTGTTTTGTGTGGTGGTGGTACAAAAGTTCTTAAATTACGCGATGCTATTCAAGATAGATTACCTAATGCTGATATGCTTTCGTCAATTAACGGTGATGAAGTCATTGCTCTTGGTGCAGCAAGACAAGTAAATATTATTTTCAGAGTAGTGGAACAATATTTATCCATTTTCTTTTTCTAGTGTTATATTGAGAATAAATATGCTAAAGTTCAAGTATCAAAGGTATGTAATTTAATTGTAAAAATAAAAATACTAATATTTGTAAATCAAAGTTTCTGACATAAATTAATTAAAAAATTACTCGGATGATTTCGATTAGGGTGCTGCATCAGGACTGCGTATTCTCAAAATAGAGACTTCAGCTTAATTCTTGGATTGTTTTGAAGTTGTACGATGAATAGAGAATAAAATTCTCTGTCAGGCTGTTGTATTTCTGGATCTCATGTAAGATGTATCGCAAGACAAATACCAACGCGATTCAAAAACCCAAAAAAATCGGGATTTTTCTAACCGTGCTGGTATTTTCCCTTCTTCAAAGGAACCCAAGAATTAAGCTGAAGTCTCTATTTTGAGAATACTCAATCCCAAAAAAATTCCGATACATATATAGAGAAAGTGAAAGTCAAGATTAGATTTTAAAGTTCGAAACGGTTAGTTTTATCTAAGGATATCGTACTCGTTAAAATTTCATAGAATTGCAATAGAAAGATTTATTTCTATTCATATAATTTAGGATGATAATCAATTTGAACGTGTTGGTGTTCGATATTTTCGTTCCCATTTAATAATAACAGATGATCAAAAGAATGAAATCAGTGATAGTGATATTGATGATGATGATAATGATGATGAAAAAGAAAATGATCAATTAGATATTGATTGGGATAAACATGAATCTTATTTACGTAAACTTAATTTAAGTGAATGGAAAGATCAAGATCATTATAGAGTATTAGGTTTAGCAAAATTACGTTATAAAGCAACACAAAAACAAGTACGTAGTGCACATAAACAAATGATATTACGTTATCATCCGGATAAATCTAAACGTATTGAAAGTGAACGTTTTTCATTAATAACTCATGCATTTGAACTTTTATCAAATCCAACATTAAGACGATCTTATGATAGTGTTGATCCTAAATTTGATGATGCTATACCAAATCCAACAACAGCTGATAATTTTTATGAAGTATTTGGACCTGTTTTTGATCGTAATGCACGTTGGTCTATACATCAACATGTACCATTATTAGGTAATGATGATACATCATTTGAACAAGTCAATAAATTCTATCGATTTTGGTATGATTTTTCTTCTTGGCGAGAATATTCTTATATGGGTAAATAAAAGAATTGTTTTTCTCTTTTAAAAAATAAATCTTTTTTTCCGACATGTAGATGAAGAAGATAAATCTCAAGGACAAGATCGTGATGAACGACGTTATATTGAAAAATTAAATCGTGTTGAAAGAGTAAAACGTAAGAAAACTGAAATGACACGTTTACGTAATTTAGTTGATCGTGCTTATGCACTTGATCCACGTATAAAACGACAAAAGAAAGAAGAACAACAACGAAAAGATGATGAAAAATTACGTCGAAAACAAGAAGTTGATAAACGAAAACAAGAACAAAAACAAAAAGAAATCGATGAAGCTAAACGTATTGCAGATGAAAAACAACGTACAGAAGAAGAAGCTAAACGTAAACAAGATGAAGCTAAAAAGGAAAAAGATGCACAAAAAAAAATAATTAAGTATGTTATTAGATTTGTTTATTAAGATTCCATAAAAATTTTTTGTTTTTCTCAGGAAAGAAAAGAAACAATTACGTGATTTATGTAAAGAAGCAAATTATTTTAATGATAAAGCTGCAGCACCAAATCTAAAACAAATCGAACAAATTGAAACATTAATTGAATATCTTCCAGTTGATGATTTAAAAATATTAAATGCAACATTACAAGAAGAAAATGCTGATAAACGATCAATAATTCTTTCTGAACTTAAAAAAATGGATGGACAAATGCAACAATCACGTTTAGAACTATCCCAACAATCTTCATCTTCATCAACAACTTCATCATCAAATTCAGCTGCGGCTATTAAATGGACACCAGAAGAAATTGAATTACTTGTTAAATCACTTCGAATCTATCCAGCTGGTGTACAAAATCGTTGGTTAGTCGTTCAAGAATATCTTAAACGTAGTGGTGGAAATCCAAATCGTAACGTACAAGATATAATGGCAAAAGCAAAACATATTGCTAGTGGAAAGAAAGAAGTCGATGAAAGTTCAGCATCATTAGATCATATTGCACTTAATTCACATAAACAATCAGGAATTGCAGAAACTGAAGCTAAATTAAATGCAGTAACATTGAGTGAACGTGATGAGGAAACATCAGTACCATGGTCAGTTGATGAACAACGTATATTTGAACAAGCATTACGAACATATCCAGCATCATTAGGTGCATCAAGATGGGATCAAATAGCTGAATGTTTAGCATCAAGAAATAAAAAAGAATGTTTAGAACGTTATAAAGAATTAGCTAAAATGGTTCAAGCTAAAAAAGCTGTCAACAAACCGTAAAAAAAATTTCATACAACCGAATTCAAATGAAGAACATATCAAAAAAGAAGTGACTTTTTTTCTCGGTGATTTTGTTATGTTTGTTTTTCTCACATCGTTTGCTATTGTATGTGTGAATGCACTTGTTTTAAAAAGTCTATATAAACTAGGCAATTATTAAAACCCAGAATTTAAGATAATTTTTAATGAATCAATCATTTGCTTATAATGACAATCGCAGTGGCGTATCTAGGATTTTCGAAGGGAGGGGCGATCCGCCCTAAATCTGCCACTGGACAATCGCACTTTAATAGAGTATGATCTACAAGCAAGAGTAAGAGTAAAAACATGTATTTTATTTTCACAGTTCAAAAGTAATACTAGTCTCAAATTTATATCGATCAAATATGAAATTTCAATCTATAAAATTAGTTAGCCTTTTGTATATGACAAAATAATTCTTAAGGTAATACCTGCTGACATCTATAATGAAATAATATCAAATTGAAATTTAAAAAAATACAGATTAAATTATATCAAATCAAATTTGTTATCTTAAAATAATTTCCCATTCAATCTTTTCCGTTAGTACGGTAACAAAATACAGAGGCAAGAGTCATAGAAGGATTTTTCTAAATGGAGAAAACGTTTTTTTTTCTTCGAGTTTGTAAACCAAACAATAGCATAACTAATGCAAAAATAAAATCTCTTCTCCTCTTTGCAAGGATCATCATCTCATTTAAAAGAAAATGGTAAATTATTTAAAATTTAAATTATTTTGGTAATAAATTATCTTTTAGGCAATGACTCGTCAATTAAATCAAAAACAAGGTGGTGGTGGTGGTGGTGGTGGTAGTAATAATCCCAATAATTGGTATGCTAATCAATATGCTCAACGTGAACAAGAAGCTGATCGAAGTCTTCGTGAACGACAATTACAACAAGGTCGTATTCAAACTGAGATGTTAGATATTGAAGCTAAAGCTGTTAATAAACGATTAATACGTGAACAAACACGTGCAGATCGTGATCGAGCTACAGAAGAAGCAATTATAAGAGCACAATGTGAGAAAAAATTATCTGCAGAAGCACGAAGTCAAGAAGAACGTTTAGCTATGGAACTTGAACGTATCAAACTTGACAAAACTCGTGATGAAAAAATGCGACAACAAATTCGGTACGAAAAAAATTTTGTACGTTTCAATCTTAATAAATAATTTCTTTTTGTTTTCAGTGAAACGAGTTACGAATTACGCGATTTAGAATCTAAATTACGTGCTGCTTATGTTCAAAAAGAACGCACTGCACAAATGGCTGAAAAACAAGCATTGAAATTTGATTCATACTTAGAAGATGCAGAAATTGCACGACGTATGCGTAGTGAAACAGATAAAGCTGAAGCAGATCGTCGTCAACAAGAAATTGTTAAACATCAAGAAATGATACGTTATAAACAAGATCTTCAACGACAACTTGAAGAACGTGAAATAGGTAAACAACAAGCCTATGAAGAATTTCTTCGAGAAAAATTGGTTATTGATGAAATTGTTAGAAAGATTTATGAAGAAGATCAACGGTAAGTTTAATTAAATAATTCCATCGTTTTATAATTTGAATAATTATCTTTATAATACAGAGAAATGGAACGTAAATTTGAACGTCAACGTGCTACACGTGATTTCATAGCTGAATTTACACGTAAACGTGAAGAATGGAAGATAATGGAACGTGAACGTATGGAAGAAGAAAATCGTCGTATTAAAGAATATGCTAAAACACAAGAACAACGACAAGAAGTAGCTAAAGCTGAAAAACGTGCACGAGAAGAAGCCTTAAATAAAGTTCAAAATGCATTAGGTGAACAAATTAAACGTGATCGTGAAGAACGTGAAGAACAAGAATTAGTTCGACAAGAATTATATTTGGAAGAACAAGAACAAGTTATACGAAGACGTGAACGTGATGAAATGGAAGCACGTATACGACAACGTTTAGAATTACAACGTGAACGAGATGAACAAATGCAATTTAAACGTATACGTGATGTAGAAATTAAACAAGAAGAAGAAAGATTTCGACAACAAGTTAGATAGAAAAAGATATGAGAAATTATTTATTCTAAGATTTTATTTTTCTTTATATAGTTAATGCAAAAATTTGCTGAAGATGATCGTATTGAACAGATGAATGCTCAAAAACGTCGTATGAAACAAATCGAACATAAACGAGCTGTTGATGTTTTACTTGATGAACGTCGACAACAAATGACAGTTGATAAAGTTTGTATTCAATTTACATTATACTAGAATTATATATATTTATTTAAATAGCAACGTGAAATCGATGAACGTGGTGAAGCTGAACGTATTGCACAACTTCGTAAACAAATTATTGAAGAAGAACGTATTAAATTACTTCGTGAACATGCTCATCGTTTATTGGGATATTTACCAAAGGTAAAAAATATCTAATTAGTTAAATATATAAAAAAAAATATGAATTTTCTATTCTTATGTAGGGTGTTATTCGTGATGAAAAAGATCTTGATAATCTTGGTAGTGATTTCAAAAATGAATTTAAACGACGACAAGTCAATATGCAAAATCCAGATGGATGGGACAATATGTGATGATTTTCTTCTTTTTTCTTTTAACAAAAAAGAGTCAAATAAACATATACCTTTTATCTTACAAACATTCATTTTATTTGTGTTACGTTTGAGTACAATCAGAATTTAAATAGCAAAGACATTTATTTAATAAAAATGTAAAAATATATTCCACTAATAATAGATTAGAGTTTTGATAAAACTGATCATAAAAGTCGTTAAATTTCATTTTATGCTCTGTTTGTAGTAATGTTCCACCTGGAAAACCTTTGTCAATAGCCATGCACTTTTCTTCTTCTTGCTGACGTTTTCGTTCAGGTTCCGTCAATATATAAATCAGATTATGTATACAAAAGTATTCTGCTTCGATAATAAGACGTTGACGAAGTGGTTCATTAGTCATTATGTCACTGTGTATGGTATTCGTTCTGAAATATTCTAGAATATGTTCAAATAACGTTCCATTACGATTAATGAAGATACTGTTATCATTTGGATCTCGTTCAAGTTTCCCTTGTTCTGAGAAAAGTAAAGTAAAGAAAGGATTTCCCATACATGTTAATGTACTACCAGTTGTAGTATATTTGCTACCACCAACATTAAGTATAACTTTGTCTTCAATACAAGTTGTTGATAAGTTGAATTTAATATTTCTCCATTCTTCTTCTTCATAGGATGCATTGGCTAATTTCTGTTCTAATTGAGCGTTCATTTGTATTGCTTCCCAGGTCGATGATTACGAACGCCGTTTCCAGCATCGTTTAAGGCAGGAAACGGCTAGAAAACGACGTAATTCCTGCAGGAAACGGCCGTGAACGAATGTCGCTTCTTGCTGTTTAACACCGTAATCCGTATATCCAGATTTGTTTATGTAGTCTTGTCGGAAAGGAAACGGCGCCGTTTCATGCCTGAAACGCGACGTGTATTTATTGTTAGATAATCTGAAAATAAAAAAAAAATTTAAATAATTACAAAACTATTTACCATTAAATATATCATTATAGATGATCTAAAATAAAGAAAAAGAATATAAATTAATAAAAATACTACTGTTCAATTTATCGTTCAGTATATTAATAAAAAATATTAACTGTTTATATAGCTCATAAAACCATTTTCTGAAGGTAAAACACTTAGCTTTATAATTTATTGTAGAATGATTTTAATTTTTCAAAGATGGCCCTACCCATAATGTTATTTAAATAACTCATTGTTTCGATTGTTACCAATTTATTTTTCATTTTATCATTGAGCTTTCATATAAAAAGTAGACAGTAACGAATACATTATCTAATATAGTATATAGACCGACTGATGAAAGTTTTAGAGAAAAAAAAGGCAAAAAACGGTAATTCCCTACGACTGCCGTGTCCGATAGGACGGAACCGATTAAAGGAAACGACTACCGAGTGTCATCGTTTTCAAACCGTTTTACGATTCACCGTAAACGATAGCCTCAAGGTGACCGTTTTTTACCGTTTGAAGCCGCGTTTACGACACCGTATTCTTTCACCTGGATTGGTCACACAAGTTCTCAGTGGTTCGAATATGATCACTGCATTTATTCAGCTTTGAAATAGTATCTTCACGAACTTTTTCAAAATGAGTTCTTACCCAGGCCAAACATGCTCTGTCATAAACGCCTGTATACGGGCAGTATACGGATCTCGTGTTGTATTCTGTCGTACTTTAACGTGTTACCTGTCTCAGTATTACGATCGTATTTTCTCTGTATTTTTACGACAGTATACGATCATTTCACGGTATCAAAATGTAGCCGTTTTTCGACATCGTAGTTAG